CCTTGGCGCAGCTCCTTAACTTTGGAGCGCACCTGGTCCTGGGTGCAGGGGTAGTGTCATCTCTGGGCCAGGGCCTCTGCCATGCGGCCATAAATGTCTGCATTTCGCCGATGGCTTTTTAGGGCTTGTAAGGCCTCCTCCTCTCCCCAGAGCTCGAGAAGGGTCTTGAGCTCTGGCCCAGACCATGATGGTGTCCGGCGTTTGGAGCCCCTGGTTTGTTTTGCCTGCCACAAGTGGCTGTGAGGGTGCCTGTCCCTTTCAGAAATGGCTGCAGACAGGAACCAGAGACATGCAAGCCATGTCCCAGATTGTCCACCAGGGCTTCTTCCTGGAGGCCATTATTTTCGAAAAAAAGGGCTCCCCCCGTCCCCACACACTTATTTTCGATGGATCTCCATCAAAAAAGGCATTCTTCCTGGTGCAATGAGGTTTACCGCCGTCGAAAGAAAAGCCGCATTTTCGATTTAATTTTGAAAGAACGCGGCTGTAGTCTAGACGCAGGTGAAGTTTTTTCGAAAAACCCCCTGTGTCTGGACACAGCCTCTGTGACAGAGAGACCAACTATCAGTAGGATCCAGCCAGCGTTGGGCTACAGATGGCGCTCCTGACACAGCCTGCAAACAGGCTGCTCTGCATTTGAAACGTGAGCTTATATTTTACATTCAGGTTCCTGGAGGGCAGCTGCTACTCTGCCTTCCCCTTGGCCACGCAACCGGCATGGCCCATAGCAAAGCCAGAGGCAAGGAAACAACAGGGGTTTCTGAAGCCCTTGGGTGGGAAGGCAGTTAGTTGTCTTCTCTTGCCTTTACCACACTGCCCATTGATGCAGGGGTTGGGGGCTGACACACACCCAGGGGTGAGTGACAGCATTTGGTCGGGCTGGGGGGAGTCAGGGTTCTCTCCACTCTGGAGCAACCAGCTGGGGGTGGGGAGCATCCCTGCCTGACAGGCCCATGTTGGAGCAATGTTGGGAGCAGGGTTGTATCAAGCCCCGTGGGGACAGATCCCCATTGCTGCCCAGAACCAAACACTGGGGCAAGGGTGCTACACCTTGGTCCAGCTTTTCATACAGGAGAGAGTCCTGGGGCATCTTGGAGGGCAGCAGCTCCAAGTCTCATGTGGATTGGGGCCACGCCCCACATACCTGGGGGCAGCTGTCATAAGAGGACCCATCTGAGATCCCCCAGCCACCTGGGAGGAGCTGATGTGAGGGCACAAGGGATCCTCACACACCTGGAAGCGGCTGGCATAAATCACGGCCACAGCTGGTTCACTCAACTCCTTCAGCACGTTCCCTGGAAGGAGGGGAGGGAAGAATCACCCACTGCTGGGGCACTGGGTCCCTTCTGCCAAACCCATGCCCAACAACCCCTGGCTGGCTCCCTCCCACTATTGCCCCCGGCTCCCTGGTCATGGAGGCTGCAGATGGGGTTGGCGGCCCCCCTCTCCACGCAGCCCCGCAGCACCCGGTTCATCTTCTGCTCCATCTCAGGGTCCCCCCGCTGCACCGCCCCGAAATCCAGCTCGCTGGCGTTGTCCCCCTGCACCAGGGGAAAGGTGGATCAATAGACACGGACACAAACCGTCTACAACCCCCCTATCTAATCCTCCCAAATATCCTCCAATCGCACTTACTGGCACTGTCCCCCTGCACCTGGGGGAGAGACAGCAGGGTCACCTCAGCAGACACAAACCTTGGAATACAGATCCCACCCTTAGCCAGCAGCATTCCCAAAACCATCTCACAGGTACTGTCCCCTACTCCCTGGTGGGGAGAGCCATGGGAGAGGGGGGGAGGGGATCCTGATGACACAGCTCTGCTCCCTGCAACAAAGATCCTTCTACCCCCTGAAATACAACTTGCTTGCCCGGCCACTTTGCATTGGGTGGGGGGAGGGAAGGGAGAGAGAGACAGAGCTCACCCCAACACAGCCCCAACATCCCCCATTGCTGCCATCACCCCCTGTTCTCAGGCCAGGGAGCAACACATGGGGGGCACTGTCCAACGAGAGCTCAGCACAGCAGACTGGGGGCCTGATTGGGAGGTGAGTAAGCTGAGTGAGCCCCACCACTGGGTGCATCCTGGGGGGCACAGAAAGAGGAGGCTGGGCAGATCCCACTGCAGACATGTGGAGAGGGTGTGTGGGCCCCATTGTGGGAGGGGGAGATATGGCAGAAAGGGGAAAGCAGAGTCAAGGGAATCATGTGGGAATCATGCTAGAATGGAGGGGGACCAATCCAGGCAGTGGGTGCAGCAGGGGCCTTGCTGATCCATCCCCAGGGCAGTCCCTACTCCTCGCATGCCTCTGCTCACTCACTTGGATGGAGAAGGCAGCACCTCCCCTGATTCCAATCCGGTACACGGGACCACCCACTTTCACCACCTGCATCTCTGGGGGGGATAGCGAACAGTGAGACCCCACAAAACCCATCCCAGCCCCACAGCGGGGCACTGGCTCTCCCTTCCTTCCCCTTGCAAGGGCGGTAGAGAAGAGCTGGGGCCAGATGGCTGCTCCTCCCTTTAGGTGAGGGGTGGGATAGGGCAGAGGGTTTCTCAGGCTGGGGGGGACGACTGCAATTTCCAGGGCGAGGGAAAAAACAGAGAGGGCTTATCGGGGGTGGGGGCTTTGGGAATGGAGGGCACTCACTGGGCATAGGGGGTACGATACCCCCGCTGAACATGATGGGCTTGATCCACTTGCGGCGCTGCCCATTGGGGAGCTGCTGGCTAAAGAAAACCCTGCACACAATGGAGGTGGGGCTAAAGCAGAGACCGGCCTATCCAGCCCATCCCTCTGCCACTCCACACTGAGAGCAATGGCCCTTTAGGCACCAGCATTCCCCTGTTCAGATTGTTAAACTCCTCTCCTCTCCCATTCCACCCCAGAACTAGGCACACTTCCATCCTCTCCTGTTCAGTGCTCCCCAACTCCATCCAGAGCCAAGCATGTCCACCCCCTGCCAAGCACTCCCCAACCCCCACCCCAGAGACAGACACATGCTGCCCCCCACCCTGAAACTAGGCAGTCCTTCCCCCCAAACCGTGCCCCAGAGCCAAGCACACCCTGCCCCTGCAGCCCTCGCAGCCCCCGCTGCAGAGCCAGTCATGTCCACCCCCTTCTAGACCTTTCCCCAACCATTAGAGGTCAGACTAGAACCCAGAGCCTCCTGTGAGTAGCTGATGTAGTCTTTTGGGAGCATGCCCATGTGAGGACACAGCCAGCCAGTCCTTCCCCCCAAACCGTGCCCCAGAGCCAAGCACACCCTGCCCCTGCAGCCCTCGCAGCCCCCGCTGCAGAGCCAGTCATGTCCACCCCCTTCTAGACCTTTCCCCAACCATTAGAGGTCAGACTAGAACCCAGAGCCTCCTGTGAGTAGCTGATGTAGTCTTTTGGGAGCATGCCCATGTGAGGACACAGCCCAGTCCCCACCCATCAGGACAGTCACACCCCTAAGCCCTGAGAATACACCCCAGACCCCACTCACCAGCCAGGACAGGCATCTCAAACTTGTTGCCATAGTCCGAGGCACCATCACTGGCTCTGATGGTCACTTGCAGGAGGTGGGCGAAGTTCTCAGGGTCGGGAAGTGCTGGGTCCTCCTAGGGCAGTGGGTAGCCTAGGGACAAGGAGAGATGCTCAAGGGGGACAGCCTGGGGGGCCACCAAAATGGGGCCAGAGGGTTCAAAAGGCAGCCAGATGGCCCAGTAGATGATGGGCTGGCCAGGAAGGATGTATTCTGAACCCAGAGCAAGCCGGGGACTGAACAACCCACAGCTCCCTGGGACCAGGACCAAAGCAGGGAGCCCAGCAGCCAGTGCCCCACAGGGACATTGGTTGGGGAGGCAGAAAGTGACCCAGGAAAGCCGAGTAGAGGCAGTTGCGAGGCATCACAGGGTAAGCAAAGCTGAAACACACACACCTCAGGCTGAAACCCAATAGAGTGGGCTGCCCCAGACTCTCCTGCACCACCCAAGGACCACAGCTATTAGATGGAGGTGCCCCATAGTGCTAGCCACTAGGCAGAACCACAGAGTTCAAATGCGGAGCTCGAGTGGTGGGGAGTGAGTGTTCTACTGATTCAATCCAGTGTGGGGCTGGTGCTACAGTGTGCTCCCCTCTTCCAAAGCCAGGAGCCCCTGGGAAGGATGGGGAGCATGTAAAGCCATGCACCTGTTAGTCTGTTTCCTTCACAAGGCTCCTGCCATTGCAAAGCCATGACACAGGGACTGTGGCATATCGCTCTGGTCATGGCTCATAGGGAGCAGGCCCAGCACAGGGGAGGGCATCTTGGCAGGAAGATCTGGGGGAAGGGGAGTAAATATCTCCACAGGGGGCAGGCCAGGCCTAGAGGGAGAGATGTGGGTACCTTCGATGGAGCACTGAAATTGTGATGGGGCAGGGCAAGCAGGCGACCAGCAGCTGTGGCTGCAGGCAGTCCTGTCTTGGCAGGAGTAACAAATGTAGATGAGGCCTTGTTTTCTGGGGACATGACTAGATCTGCTGGCAGGAAACACCATGTTTGTGCCGAGATGAGGAAAGAGGCGACGGGCAAACAGACAGATGGTCTGAGGCATTTTGACACCACCAACACCGAGCAGGAAAGATGAGATTAAAAGGGGGTTGCAGAGAGAGTGAGGCCTGGTCCTAGTGGCAGGAAGAGCCCGTGGCCAGGGGGAGGAGTTCCTGGTGCTGCCCCCTGTTCTCACCATGGATTTGCAGGTTTCTGAAGTTGTACCTGGCCATGCTGGTGATGACGTGGACCCCGTGCACTGCACCTCCCAGATCCACCCACCTGTCCCCGTTGTAGCCCCACTAAACAGGGCCACCACTGGGAAGGAGAGTCAGAGTGAGAGTAAGCGAGGGTACGTCTACACTACAGCGCTAGTTCAAACTAACTTAGTTCGAATTAGTTAATTCGAACTAAGCTAGTTCGAACTAGGCGTTAGTCCTCGTAAAATGAGGATTACCTAGTTCGAACTAAGGGCTGTGTAGCCCTTTAGTTCGAACTAGTGGGAGGCTAGCCCTCCCCAGGTTTCCCTGGTGGCCACTCTGGCCAACACCAGGGAACCTCTATGCCCCCCTCCCGGCCCGGGATCCCTTAAAGGGGCGCGGGCGGGCTACGGTGCCGGTGCCAGGTGCAAGCCTGCCAGCACCCAGCGAGCAGACCCTGCACCTGGCACGGCACAGAGCCACCCACCCGATGCCCCCCAGCCCACCCCCTCTTGCCGGGACCAGGCTGGCGGCTCCCGGGAGCTTGCCCTGGACCGCAAGAGGCGGGGACCTTCCTGGGCTAGTGCGGACATCGTGGACCTCGTCCACGATCTCCGCACTAGGCACAGGAAAGTGGCCGTCTAGGGCAGGAGAGCTGCCAGCCGGGCCACCCAGGACCAGGTGTGCATGAAAATCAAGGGGGTCCACTGAGCCCCCCGACACTGAGCCCTGAGCTTACAATGGCCGTCCTAGGTCAGACCAAAGGTCCTTCTAGCCCAGTAGCCTGTCTGCCGACAGCGGCCAACCCTAGGGACCCTGGAGGGGATGGACCGAAGACAGTGACCAAGCCATTTGTCTCGTGCCATCCCTCTCCAGCCTTCCACAAACTTTGGGCAGGGACACCACTCCTACCCTCTGGCTAATAGGACTCCATGGCCCCAACCTCCATGACTTTATCTCACTTCCCTTTAAACTCTGTTCTAGTTCTAGCCTTCACAGCCTCCTGCAGCAAGGAGTTCCACAGGTTAACTATTTGCTTTGTCAAGAACAACAACTTTCTCTTACTAGTTTCAAGCCTGCTACCCATTCCTTTCCTTTGGTGTCCTCTAGTCCTTCTTTATGGGAACTCAGGAAGAACTTTTCTGAATGCACCCTCTCCACCCAACCCCTGCTTTTAGAGACCTCTATCCTGTCCCCTCTCCGTCTCCTCTTTTCTAAGCTGAACAGTCCCAGTCTCTGTAGCCTTTCTTCATCTGGGACCTGTTCCCAACCCCTGATCATGTTAGTTGCCCTCCCCTCTCCCAGCCTCTCTCTTCCCCTCTCCCACCTCCTTTTCCCAGTCTCCCCCAGTTTTTTTCAATAAAGACAGAGTCAATGTTGGAAGAAACGTTATCTTTATTTTGTACATCAATAAGAAGGGGGGCTAGGGAAGGGTAAGTGGAAGGAGGTGAGGGAGGAATGGGGTACGAGCCCCCGATGGGGAGGACTGGGCTGGCTCTGCGGGCTTCTGGGGGTGGAAGCTCTCCTGCAGCCCCCCAATTACTCCCTCTCCCCAGATGGCAGCCTGCGGCAAGTGGAGCCGGGCTGATGGCCGAGGGGGGTGATGTGCCCAGTGGGGGCACTCAGGGCACTCCAAGCCAGAACTTCTTTGCAAGCGGGGCACCCCTTAGAACTGTGTGTCCGGGGGGGGGGTCGGGACCCTTTAAGCGCAGCCCTCGGCTAGCCTGAGACCGCATCTCCATGCTCTAAGTCCTCCTTTTATGCCCTGCCGGCACTGCTTCCGGCCATCCTTAAGCCCTGTTCAGAGTCCACTCAATGTGGACTTACTAGTTCGAACTAGCGTTTTGCTAGTTCGAACTAGGCGTTAGTCCTCGTAAAATGAGGATTACCTAGTTCGAACTAAGCGCTCCGCTAGTTCGAATTTGAATCGAACTAGCGGAGCGCTAGTGTAGCACCTATTAAAGTTAGTTCGAACTAACTTTGTAGTGTAGACATACCCCAAGAGAGTAAGCCCCCAAACTACACACCCTTCACAGCCACTCCCACACCACCCCCACAGCCAGGATCCCCCCCGCATACCTCATGGAGTTCAGTCTGCATATGTAAGAATAGGAAGAGTATGTAGCATCCACCCACCCCACAACCACCATGCACTGCCACCCCACAGCCATACTTCCACACATACAGACCCTGCCCCACAGACACCCCTTTAATAGACCACAGAAATTCACTCTTCATGCATACTTCCCTCCAGGAGTCCCCCCAATAACTCTGATGGACTGCCACATAATCCCCTGACTACACATCCTCCCATACATACATATTTCCCCCCCCCAGATACATGCAACCACACTGACCCGTGGGGAAGTTGTGGGTCTCTGCGGTAAAGACTATGGGCTGGGTGGATGTTTTCTTTTCAAAGGGCCTGGGGCGGGATGGGTCACAGGGAGCACAATGCCCTTCCCTTGATATCACTGAGGGCTGAAAATGAGCCATGGCCATCAGCCACAGAGCACCCCTCAGGGCTGGCCTTAGGGAAAATTCACCCTGGGCGACCTTGTATTTTGATGCCCTCCCCCGCTGCCCCAGTCACCAATGTTCCCTCATCTTTTGCATCCATGTGAGGAATACATTTTTCTATGTGCACCAAGGCACGTGTGGATGTGCACCACCAATAGAAACAAAACACCTGGCTGTGGATGCTCTGCTAATCAGCTGGGTTCCATTTTCAATCTCTCCAGGGCAGACACACAAGTACCCAGCTTACTGGGAACAGTCACCCCCAGCCTCCCTGGCCTCGCCTCCCCAGCTGGTCACTCCTGGCCCACTAACAATGTGAGACAGCGTGTCTGGGGGGTGGGCGGAAGACACTCATCTGAAGGCTTGTTCAGACAGCAGCAGCCACCAGCATCTCCCACCGCAGCTGCAACCAGCATCTCCCACCGCAGCTCAGCAGAGATTGATACGTGGGTGTGGGAGAGGAGGGTTACTCTGATATCAGCACCTCTGCCGCCCTCTCCCCAGCCACAACACACAGGAGGCCCCCAGGAGCAGCTTGGACAAGGACAAGGGCAGGATCAGCAGTAGCAGCGGCTGCAGATGGCAGCAGAGTAGCAGGGCACCATGCTCCAGAGAAGCACCTCTTAGACTGGCACCTCAGATCATCACCCAACCTGCCCACCCTAACTATGCCCTGGGGCTGGCTGGAGGGGAGAAGAAGAGAACTAGCCTTGGCACTCACCCAGTGGGAGAGAGAGCTTGACTCAACCCAGGCTAACAGCCCCCCCTCCCCACCCTAAAAACTCGGGTCCCAGGCAGGCACCTGCTGTTGTCCGAGAACTTGATGACATTGTTGGGGTTGCTGCTCTTCTGGGTCCGCATGATGGAGTCAAACAGCGACTCCTCAATCTCCATCGCAATGTCCACCAGGCAGTGCCCTCTGAAGAACCAGTGTCGGCTGTGCTCACTGGGGGACAGAGACAGAGATGAGACACACACAGGGACTCCTACCTGTCCCCAGGGCAGGGACGTCTGGGTCAAGGGGTGGGGAATGAGACATGGGTCTTTTCCCCTCTAGGGGATGTTAGCTCCCACTTGTCCCCAAGTGGGGGGAACTGCCTAGCTTAGGGTGGCTAGGAATGGAACATAGGGTCTGTCCCCTCTAGGGGGCACCAGCTCCCACCCAGCCCCAGGGAAGTGGCACTGACTAGCCAGGGGGACTCTAGGTGATACCTGTTGGACTGGGCCAGGTCAAAGCAGTCCACGTTGGTCAGGTTGAGCCCAATTCTCTGGAAAATACTCAGTATAATACTCCAGGTCCCAGGAATCAAAGGCCAGGCCTGCAGGGAAAATGAGTTAGGGTGGAATGGGGGACAGTGACCTTTGACCCCCAGCACTCTCCAGTATGAAAAAAATCATCCCTAGACAGCAGGGGGCCCAAACCTGGGGAGCTGGGGGTCAGCCATAGCCCTGGCTCTACCCTAGCAATCCAGCTCCCAGAGTCCATTTCAGCTTCTGGGTGTCCCTCCTCCCACATCACAGACCCAATCCCTGCACCACTGCAGAGCTCTCCCCCATTCCCCACCACATCCAGCCCCCCTTATCCCAAGGACTCATCCACCAGCCTGACTCCAGGATGTCCAGTCCCCGTTAGTCCTGGTTCTGAGCACCTAGGTCCTCCCCACCAACACAGGCCCTTGCCCCCAGCTCTGCACCCCCCATACTCAGCTCCTGGTTGGCTCTCTCCAGCATAGTGCGCCTCTCCTGTAGCACTTCTATGTCATGGGTGGGCATAGGGTGGGTGTCCACGGCAAAGCTTCAGATCGTCTCCTCGTAGAGCTGTTCTGTCATCCGGTCACTGAGCACTGCCACCAGAATGGCCTTCTCGGGGGCTGTGGGGTGCCAGGCCCACTGCCAGGAAGGGGGTGTGAGAACCTCTCCCCCTAGGTAATAATGGGAACCTCCCACCGCTCCCCACTGGGGACAGACACTTGGGGAGAGAGGGAGACTGAGAACAAGGACCTGCGTGCCCTGGAAGCAGGAAGGGGAGGCAGACAGACCAAGCTGCCCCCTGTCCTGTCGAGATCTAGACATCGGGAGAAGCAGCCCAGGAATTCCCTCCCACCCAGAGCCCATGAACCCAAAAATGCTGGAACCTCCCTCCTCCCCCGAGTGCCATGTGCCTCCCACCTCCTTCCTGGGTGTTGCCCCTGTCCCTAGGCGCTTATATCCCCTCTCACCTGCAGCAGGTAGCAGCAAGAGTGCTCTACATGGTCAACACAGTCCAGCCCTGCTGCCCAGTACATGGACACCATGTTGGTGAAGAACGCCGTGGAGAAATTCAGCCTGCATCAGGAAAGGGTAACAGTCCCGAGAGATGCAGCCCCTGCCCCATGACTGCCCCTCATCCCACAGCATAGCATCCCCTACCAAGCTCCCCCACCCACCAGCAGCACCCCCTAGTGCAATACTGACTGCTAGGGGAGAGCACCTGGCCCTCTCCCTGCAGCACAACACCCCCGATGAGTCCCATGACTCACCGAGGCCCAATCTCTATCACCAGGTCGGTGGGTGCTGGGCGCAGGAAGGACTCCGTGGCAACATCTCCAGGTTCAAAGGGGCAGCCAAAGAGCCAGTGCAGCACCTGGGTCTCTTTGGGGCTGGGGGGCAACACACCTGCAGGGAGGAATGGGGCAGTATTACCCAGCATGCAATGTGGCTCAGGGCTCCTGCCAGGAAGGGGAGCCCCCATGGAATATGATACCTATTCCCCACCTCATAAGAATGGCTCAACTGTGTCAGACCAACTGTGCTTCTAGCCCAGTGTCCTGTCTCTGACAGCGGCCAGTGCCAGAAGCTTCAAAGAGAATATATAGAACAGAGAAATGACCGAATGATCCACCTTGTCATCTAGTCCCAGTTTCTGGCACTCAGAGGTTTGGGGACCCCGAAATCATGGGGTGGCATCCCTGGCCACTTTGGCTAACAGCCCTTGATGGACCTCTCCTCCAGGAAAACAGCTAATGTCTTGTTGAACCCAGTTATACTTTTGGCTTCACAACATCTCATGGCAAGGAGTTCCATAGGTTGACTGTGGGTTGTGTAAATAAAAATACTGCCTTTTGTTCTTTTTTAAATCTCCTGTTAATTCATGTTATGTGAAGGGATAAATAACACTTCTCTACTCACTTTCTCCACCCCAGGCATGATTTTATAAGACCTCTATCATATCCTCCCTTAGTCGGCTCTTTTCCAAGTTGGACAGTCCTGATCTTTTTCATCATTCCTCATATGGATGCTACTCCATACCTCTAATCATTCTTAAGAGACATGCAGGAACACAGCAACCCCTCCTAAGACAAGGAGGGCATAAAAGGATAAGGGAGGAGAGTGGTTTGTTCTAGGGATGTAATAGTGTAGCAGATTAACCGATTAATTGATAAGCAAAAGCTTATAGGTTAATGCTATAAACTACATTCATTTCCCTTCCCCACTTCCTTGCTAGTACATTTTTTAGCAGACTGGCCAGCAGCCCGGTTGAGTCCTGGCTCATGCTGGGTCCAGGATCTCCCCCTGCTGCCTCTAATACAGTGGCTGCCAGCCCCACCCTTGGGAGCTATAGAATAGTCAACTAACTGATAAGAATTCATGAAGTTACTCTAATATTCAATTAACCGATATTTAACATCCCTGGTTTGTTCAAAGCAGCAATACAAGGAGAAGGCTTGTAACAAACACTGTCTGGAGTGCAATACCTAACTCGCTTGTATCAAAGTCCTGCCATGAGGGCAGGGGACTGGACTTGATGATCTCTCGAGGCCCCTTCCAGTTCTAGTTATTCTATGATTCTAAGTCACAGGAGGGCATCGCTGTCTGGCTCAGGGTTACTCATTGAGCTGGTACCATTGTTGCAGACACACACATTTTAGTGCATGGCTCCAGGGTGCTAGTGCTGGGCTTCATTGACAATAAACTTGGCTGAGCACTGGAACCGAACCTGTAGCCTTTCTTAGAAGTAATGTGGGGAGCGGGGTTACATGCCTCCCCAGATTGCTCGATCACATGCTAAAGCCGACTCCCTCTCTGCAGACAACTGAGCCCTCAGCTACACTGAGCAGGAAGAGGCAAGAGCAAAGGAAGCACAGGGAGCTGCACAGAGGGGCTGCTGCTTTAATTCTGTCAGAGAGACAAAGGATCAGCTAGGTGCTGCACTGAGGGACTGCTGCTTTCTGGGGCTATGTCTAGCCTGCAGGCTTCTTTCAAAAAACTTCTTTTGAAAGAGATAGTCCACACTGCCAAAGCGCATTGAAAAAGCAATTTGCTTTTTCAAAAGATGGCATCCACATTGATTGGACACTATCTCTCATTGAAGTTGTGACTACTATGGACAGAGTGGCCACTGAAGAACTGTGCTTTTTCCTGGAGGCCTCTTCTTTCAAAAAACGAAAAAAACAAAACTCCCTCTTCCGCGTCCACACACACCTTTTTCTGAAAGAGCTCTTTCAGAAAAAGTCTTCTTCCTTGTACAAAGAGGCTCACCACTGTCGAAAACCCCCCACATGCTTTCGACTTTCTGTGGAAAGAACGTAATTGCAGTGTGGACCTAAGTGTGGTTTTTCTGGAAAAACTCTGCAGTGTAGACATACCTGGGAGAGGGAAGCTGCCAAGAAGGGATATGAGGGGAGAGGGATCTTGGCTCAAGTTGTTCCAGCTCCCCCCAAAGTTGGCAGGCACTGGTTGTCTATGGGCTTTTTATGAGTAACACTGAGATCTGCTGAATGAACATTCAGCCCGGTCTGCTAAGGCAGGTACTATCAAGACTCCAAAACAGCTGATGACTTTCCATCCAGTTCAGTGAGATCCCTTTGCGACTCCTCCCGTTCAGCTTTGGGCTGGACAACTCTTCAAAATAGCATCATCTGCACATTTTGCCATCTCCCTGTTTACTCCTTTTTTCAGATCATTTATGAATAGGTTGAATAGGATTGGTCCTAGTACAAACCCATGTGGGACACCATTCTCCAGTCGGAAAACTGACCATTTATTCCTACCCTTTCTTTCCTCTCTCCAGTCTGAGCCATAAAAGGATCCCATGACTTACCCTATGACTTACCCCATAATGGTGCACAGCCCCAGCCTCCCCAGCCCTGGAACACGGGGAGAGTGGGCAGGACATGGCTTTGATTAAAAGCCTTTGGTGAGGGACACTATATCTACCGGTTCACCCATGTCCATGTCTGCTGACACCCTCAAAGAATTCTCATAGATTGGAAAAATACAATTTCCCTGGACAAAAGCCAAGTTAACTCTTCCCCAACTATCATGTTCATTTCTGTGTCTGATAATTCTGTTCTTTACTAGAGTTTCAACCAACCTACCCGGTAATCAGTAGTCCTTGTGTGGCAAATCAGGAGAGATTCAAATGCCACTCAGTTGATTAGCAAAGCACCCACAGCTAGTTCTGTGTGTCTACTGATGGTGCACATTAGCACATAATGTGGTGCACATAAAATGTATTCCACACATGGATGGAAAAAAATCCACACATGGATGGAAAAGATTAGAGTAAACATTGCCTGTGACACGTAGTGGGGGGTACCTTGCTGGTTGCTATGCTGGGCAGTGGGTTGTGAGTGACCTCCACTGGCTGCTGGCTGCAGCATGGGCCAGCAGGGCAGGGGATGAGTCATTATGCAAGGGGGCTTCGAACCTGTTCAACCAGTTATCCCCCAGGGAGCGGAACAATGGGAAGAAGGGGAGTGGAGCCCTGGCTGGGGGCAGGGCTGGAAGTGAGTTAGTTAGTTTTCTGTCTGGTATCATGGAGGAAGCAGCCTAGGCAACAGGCTGAGATTTAGGGGCTCAGGCTCCCCCATCTCAAGGGGGGCTGAGGCATCCTAGGCCTGCCCTGTAACCAGATTACATCTGTGCTGTATCCCGGAGAAGCAATAGACTCCCTCTATTCTACTGGCTGGTGGAGTCTGTCCGTGCCATTATGGAGGTGCAGGAGATGGGAAAACCCCAATGCGCCGTCACAGCCTGTCATTGCCAGCATCACCTCTGGAGCCTTCTTTAAAAATAAGCATCCACTAGCTACCATCATCTGGTACAGGGACTGATGGGATAAGTAACACTCCAATTAATAGCTGTGCAATTTCATATCTGAGTTCCTTCAAAACTCTTGGATGAATACCAGCCAGCCCTGATGACTTCTTACCGTTTATCATTTCATTCCAAAGCCACCTCTACTAACACCTCTGTCAGAATCAGTTTGTCAGATCTGAAATCTAAAAAGTATAATTCAAGTATGGGAATCAACACTCACATCCTTCACAGTCAACACCAATGCAAAGAATTCATTTAGCTTCTCTGCAGTGGTCTCATCTTCAAGTGCTCCTTTAGCAACTTTTTTGTCTTCCTGCTTCTGATGCACTTCAATATGTTTTTCTGTTAGTTTGTCTTTTGTTCATTGTTCTTAAAATTGTTTTTAAGCTCCCTAATTACACCTTTACACTTGACGTGACAGAATATTTCCTTCAGTAGGATTTAACTTCCGATATTTCAAGGATGCCTTTTTGCCTCTAGCCACTTTTGATATTGTTTGGTCACTGAGACACTTTTTTTTGGTTTAATTTGAGGGTGTACTTTTAATGTATGCTGTTATTAAAATTTCCATGCAGCTTGCAAAAATTTCACTTTTGGGACCACACCTTCTGATTTGTTTTCACTACTTATTAAAGCTGTTCACGGTGTGTAGCGTGGCTGTTCCTTCCCTTCCCTGACCCCCACCATGGCCACGTGCCTCCCTTACCTGTCCAGCTGAGATTATAGTAGAGCTCCCAGTGCAGGGCACGAATACCTCCCAGCACTGCCTGGGCCGAGCGCAGCAGGGACGCAGGGCAACCTCTGGAGTCTGGGCGCCGGTAGTAGCGCAGCCTGATGTTGTTGTTAGAAACTCCTCCAGGGATGGAGCCAGCTGGTTCCTATTGTAAACACAGGGGTGAGTTTCCCACTCCTCTTTCTGCCTCAGGTGGGCAACAGTCAGAGGGACTGATATGTGACTCCCATGGAGGGGTGAGGATTAGTGTTCCTTGTAAGCTGCGTGCGTGGGCAGCTGGCCAGGAAAGTCAAATGCCACTCAGTAGATTAACTAAGCACCCACAGCTGGTGCTATGTGTTTCTGCTGGTGGTGCACATCCACACATCTCAATGCACATATCAAAATTTATTCTGCACAAGTGGAAAAAGTTAGAGGGAACATAGTCTGCTATCCTGCAAACACGCACCCTCCCTTTCTCCAAATAAGCTGCCGCAGAGAGCTGTGCAAAATAGAGAAGATTTGAGAAGAAACCCACCCAAGGGAAACCTCCTCACAACTTCAGTGAGGATCAGTGAGAGAATGTTAACTAAGGGCTTGTCTACGCTTGCAGCTGTGTCATTGTAGTGCTGAGTGAAGACACAACCTATACCTATAAGGCTGTGCCTACACTGGCAAGTTTTTCTGCAAAAGCAGGTGCTTTTGCAGAAAAACTTGCCAGCTGTCTACACTGGCCACTTGAATTTCCTCAAGAACACTGACTTCCTACTGTCTGAAATCAGTGCTTCTTGCAGAAATACGATGTTGCTCCCATTCGGGCAAAAGTCCTTTTGCACAAAGCTTTTGCGCAAAAGGGCCAGTGTAGACAGCTCAGATTTGTTTTGCGCAAAAAAGCAAAAATGGCGATCAGGGCTTTTTTGCGGAAAAGCGTCTGTGCCAATCTAGATGCGCTTTTCCGCAAATGCTTTTAACGGAAAACTTTTCCATTAAAAGCATTTGCGGAAAATCATGCCAGTCTAGACGCAGCCATAAGAGTTTCTCCCCATTGGTGTCCATATGCCACCTCCTCACAAGCACCATCCACGCTGGTGGTTAGGTCAGTACAACTTCATTGTTTAGATGTGCATTTTCCACACCTCTGCGCAATGTGCTTACTCGGATCTATTTGTGTTGGTTGCGTACACAAAGGTGGAGACAATGCCAAAGGTTTTGACTGAATGCGTGTTGTAACTGTACTAGACTATAAAAGTGCTGTTGTAACTTAAAAAATACTAAATGTTTCTCAATTTCTCAGACTCTGGATTTACTGAAAATGACACCAGGGCTAACCATTGATAAACAGAGCAACAGCAGGATTTAATTGAATTAAACATTCTTGACATTTGGGTTCTTAAATAGCTTCTTCTAAGTACCAGATATGACCATTTTCTTTGATTTCATGGGAGTTCATTAAGATTTGTCACTTTGCCCAATTATAAATGGGCTGGTTATTTGTTAATAACCAACAGGATGTCCATGCCCTGAAATAAAATTATTTTGCCCTGTGATGGGGTGTACCAGCTCCCACCCCGCACTGTGAAAGCTGAACCTAATCAGGCTTACCTGGCTGAAGAAGTCCTGCCCTACAGGGCATGCTCAGACTACAGGTCAGGTATAAAAGCTTCAAAGGCAACTCAGTCTGTCTGGGCTGGCTGCTGGAAAGGAAGGAAGGAAGGAAGGAAGGATGTATGTATGTATGTATGTATGTATGTATGTACTGCCTGCAGGTGAGCTGCCTGAGGGGCCAGTCAGCCAGGAAGGCTTCTAGCCTGGAGGAGCAGCAGCCGCAGCCCCAGCCACTGCCACCGCCGGATGCCACAGCAGAGGCCAGCCAGCAGAGATCAGACATGGAAGGGCCTGGCTTGGAAGGATGCAGGTGGGAAAGATGCCAGCAATCCAGGACAAGGTAAGAAGTAACCCAGGGTAGGGAACCAGAGTCCCTGAGAAGCTTAGTGTGTTTTAGGTGGACTCCCCACTGAGTTAGTGATGGGACATGTCCACCACTGACAAGGCCCTGGGCTGGGACCTGGTGGAGATGGAGGGTTGGGGTCCCCCTACTGTACCTCCTTATCCCCTGACTGAATGCTACACCAGGACTATTGATTTGGCTGGTAGGCTGCATTGTCCTGGGAAAGGGAGGCTCCAGGGCATAGCCATATCTGTGTTGCAGAAGACACTGGGGCTGCGTCTAGATTGGCAAGTTTACACAAATACTTTTAATGGAAAAGTTTTTCCGTTAAAAGTATTTGCGCAAGAGAGCGTCTACACTGGCATGTGCCTTTGCGCAAAAGATTTGCTTTTGCACAAAAGCATCCGTGCCCAGTGTAGACGCTCTCTTGTGCAAGAAAGCTCCAATGGCCATTTTAGCCATCAGGCTTTCTTGCACAAGAAATTAAGGTAGCTGTCCACACTGGCCCTCTTGCACAAGAATACTTGTGCAAGAGGTCTTAGCCCTGAATGGGAGCATCAAAGTATTTGTGCAAGAACACTGACTTTGTAAATACTCGTGGCCAGTGTAGACAGGCGGTAAGATTTTGTGCAAAAGCAGCTGCTTTTGTGCAAAATCATGCTAGTCTAGATGCAGCCAGGGTGTGGTGCCAGGGGGCCCAGGGACTCTACAGTGCCCCCTGTGTGAGGGACAATGGAACTACCCTGTGACATGCCCATTTAGAAACTCTTACTTATGGAAGGCTATCCCAAAGAACAGTCCCAAAATGTTGAGAAACAATATATTACATATGTTCCCAAGTAGCAGGAAGATAAACAATTAATAGAGCTCACTTGTCCTCTTTTATTTCTCTAAATGCAATATTTGTTAGTAACATTGGACACAAAATTACTTTGCATCTGATGACTGAAAGGATGCCTTTCAACCCCAAGGTAGAATGGACAGAGATCAACCCACTGTAACACAGGCAGAAGCTACAGCTGCTGGAGTGAGGGGAGCGGGGGCAAGGGGGAAAAAACCCAGAACTTTTGGATTCCCCCTAATCACCTTGCTGTGGGGGATGCTAAGGAGTGAGACTAGGGTAAATTTCACCTTTGTGTGACTAGTTGAGATCATCTCTGTCTCCCCCCTGTGGAGGAGGATGGGCTTTCCTGGTAGGAGGGAGAGACAGTCATGATATATTCAGAGGTGGGGAACCTCAGGCCCAGGGGCCGGATACTTACTGCTGTCCCACTGCCCCACAGCAGGGCTGGAGCACACACAATTTACTAGTCTGGGCACCCCTAGATTCTGGGGCGCAAGGGTAATATGGGGAGTGTCTTTCTCCTTCTCCATTGAAGCCATATCAGTGACTGTTTTGTGTGTGGGTTTTTTACTTCTCTCTTGTGTGTGCCCCTGATTGATTTTTTTTTTCCTGTGGGTCAGTGGCCCCCCTGACCCAAAAAAGACAGACACACACCCCGATATATATGTGGAAGGACTCCATAGAAAGAACATCAAAGGCCAAACTGAGTCAGACCAAAGGTGCATCTAGCTCAGTATCCTGTCCTCCAATAGTGGCCAATGCCAGGTGCCCCAGAGTGAATGAACAGAGCAGGAAATCATTAAGTGATCCATCCCCTGTCACCCATTCCCAGCTTCTGACAGGCTAGCGACACCATTCCTACCCCTCCTGGCTAATAGCCATAGATGGACCTAACCTCCATGAATTTATCTAGTTCTTTTTTTGATTCCTGTTCAAGTCCCGGCCTTCACAATATCCTCTGGGAAGGAGTTCCACAGGTTGACTGTGTGTTGCATGAAGTATCATGGGATTTATTGAAGGGCAAAATGCAAAGACAAGCAACTCCCCTAATAGATCCCAGTGAGCACATGATGGTGCCATTACCCTGTCAAGGCCACTCCGTGGGAAGTTGCAAATGTGTTTGAAAAACAAAATCTGTGGCAACCCCTTGATCCGGTCAGTCACCCTGGTGGACCCTCTGGTGTTTAATAAGGGCTGAACTCTGTGTGAAGGTTTTCCCACACTCCAGACATATGTAGGGTCTCTCGCCTGTGTGAATTCTCTGATGTGCTGCCAGGTTGCAGTTCTGTTTGAAGCTTCTCCCACACTCCAAGCATTTATAAGGGTGCTCATCAGTGTGTGTGCCCTGATGTCGAATGAGGTGGGAGCTCAGTGTGAAGCTCCTCCCACACTCACAGCATTCATATGGTTTCTCTCCAGTGTGGATTCTCTGGTGCTTAATGAGGGTAGAGTTGTCAGTGAAGGTTTTCCCGCATTCATTGCATTCATATGGTTTCTCACCTGTGTGGACTCTCTGATGTCTAATGAGATTGGAGCTGACAGCAAAGCTTTTCCCGCACTCGCAGCATTTGTAAGACCGGTCCCCAGTGTGGACCCTCTGATGGGCAATGAGGTTGGAGCTCTGAGTGAAGCGTTTCCCGCACTCGCCACACTCATAAGGGCGCTCGCCTGTGTGGATTCTCTGATGTATAATCAGGTCTGAGTGGTATCTGAAGCTTTTCCCACACACAGGACATGTGTATTTTCTCTTTGTCGTGAGGATTTGCTGCTGGGCTGTAATTTCTTTGAGGTTCTTGTATCTTCCCTGGCAATGAATGGACTGACCCACTTTCTGCTCTGGCTGGTTTTCCTGTTGCTGCTTTGGCCTATGCTGGTTCTCACAGGCTCCTCCCAGCTCACAATTCCTGGGCACATCCCATTTGGAGCCTTGCAATAATCCTTTGTGTGGTCCCACTTGCTCAGCATCTTCCCACTGAGGATTCTGCTTCTCATTCTCATTCGCCATCCCTGCACCTGCTGGGAGACAAAGACAATCCAGCTGTTGTAGCCATGCAGCTAAAATGTAGCTTTCTGCAAAGTAATGTGCCTACATGTACTTTGCCAATCACCCTTTCTGAAAGCAGAACGGACCTTTCCCTTACCACTAGTAAAGGTGCACCAGCCAGAATACTGTGTCTAAAGTTGATTCTAAGGCAAGAATAGGCCCTTATGCTCACCATTCTGTTTTAGGCTTCCAGCAAACATCCGTCTTGAAATTGTAACTTGTGCAGAATATCACCATGCTTCATTTGCATAATTAATTAGCAGCCTTTTTTGCGCAAAAGCCTCTTGCACAAAAAGGAGCTGTGTAGATGGCTCCTTTTTGCGCAAAACCCCCTCTTGCTCAAGAACCATTCTTCCTAAAATTTTTTTCCAGGAAGAACGGCTCTTGAGCAAGAGGGGGGGTTTGCACAAAAAGGAGCCGTCTACACAGCTCCTTTTTGTACAAAACCTCTTGCGCAAAAATGCCTGCTAATTAATTATGCAAATGAAGTGTGGCAATATTCTACTCTGCGCTTCATTTACATAAGCTTTTGCAGAAGAGAAGAAAGCTGCAGTATAGACTTAGCCTTAATGTCCTTATTTGAATGTGCATATTGCTTCTCTAACAGAGAAAGCAACCCTCTTTTATGTAAATAAGGAATGAGTTAAAAAATATAAAAGCCAAATGTTTTTAAAAACGAGCCAAAAAATGTAAAAGCACCAGAAAATTGCTGCATATCCCCCATCCAACTGTAATCAGTGGGCAAATTAATAGCTTTAAAAAAACCCAAGCACCTATCAATTAAAACAAACTATTCATAATCAAAACCAGCGTTGCATAGCAAAACAAACCTCTACAAATAACACACCTGTCAAAAAAACAGCATAACAACGTAAAACTCACTAATTCCTATTTAAAAAAAGAAAAAAACTCCTATTATAAAAAAAACCAAACTGTTTTGCTTTCAATGGGGGAACGACCTGCCAAGACTGGAACATCAGTCAGAACAAACAGCAATAACCAGAGACTGATTATTATTGCTCTGATGATGGGAACTAATAAAACCACCTCCCCACAGACAAGTGCTGATCACTAGGGGAGCCCCTTTCCACCTCTCTTGACTCCCACATGAGGACAAAGACTCAGAGCAGACCGTCTTTCCTCCAAAACCTGAAGGGAGGAAAGAGTCCTCCTGCGTTTCAGATTTTTACATCAGTGTTTGATTTCACCTCCCACAGCCGGCCATTCAAGCAGGCTTCAGGGAGCCCCATGCAACGTGGCTTTAGCGAGAGAAGGGAGACATTTCAAGGGATATTAAATCAGTGGTAGATAACTAAGAAGAAAAAGGGGCAACACTGGAAGAGCAGAGAAGGTGTAATCAGAATGCAATGCTTGGGAGAAATGGGAGGGGTTTAAATGAATATCTGATAAACTTGAGTGACTGCGCCCCCTGGGAGTGCAGTTAAAAGAGAGGTTTTAGACAGACATTTCTCAGGCAGCGAGGAGGGGACAGGCAGCAGGCTGTGTGGGAATGGAACCTTCAGCATGGGGGTAAACTCAGGGCCTATCTTCACTAAGGGCCGGCCTGAGAAATCAGTGATCAAGCCAACAGGAGTTGATTAATCAAGTCTAGTATAGACCAGTGTTGTCGTCATTGTCAAGTCCAATTCGAGTCTCAAGTCACAACAGTTCAAGTCCCAAGTCGAGTCTCAAGTCTTAATTTAAAAAAAGTCAAGTCACTTTTGTACAAGCCATCAATATCAGCATTTCTGGACAATTTTTTTCACCAAGTCGATTTAACAAAATTAGCAAGTCTCAAGTAGAGTCTCAAGTCACAAACAATGAACCCGATTCGAGTCTCCAGTCGAGTCACCTAGGTGACTGAAGTTGGACTCGAGTTCAAGTTGTGGGACTCAAGTCAACAACTCTGGTATAGAGCAGTGCTCTCTCTCTCTTTTGTTCATTACTTCTGCAATGGCTTTTGTTATGTGTGCCAATGTGGAGGTGAAACAGCACATCACAAGTCATTCCACACACACTGTGGGGCTGAGGGTTTGGGGGGCTGGAGAGAGGTCAGGCAGAGGACTGGGGTTCAGGCTCTGGGGTGGGGCTGGAGATGAAGATGAGGTGTTCAGTATGCAGCTGCCTCAGGGAGAGAGGATTCTCCCCCACTCCTGTCTCCATGGCAGCTTAGGTGATCAACCACTGATCACGCCCTCACCTGCTCCAGGTCTCCAGCTCAACAAGACGCACAAGGGGAGATAACAGGATAGAATCTCTTGCCAAAGAGACTGCAGTAAGTAGATCTAAGTACAGTGCCGCCAGCTACGCTCTTCATGTAGCTGAAGTCACATAACTTTGCTCGATCTCGCCCTGTAGTGCAGACCTGCCCTTAGTGTGAACCTTCCTTCTTCCTCAATTGCCTCTCTAAGGCTTTCCCCTGGACACCTTCCTGCTCATCCTCC